TAAAGCAGGGAAGAGGGATACGAGGAATTCTGTATTGTGATTGGATCAAAGATGATTTCTCATGATATTGTTTTTGGAGTATTTATTCCTCATGGAACTTTTTGAGGGCAGATTTAATATTTAACGTTCAGTTCTTCATAACAAGATGTGAAGAGTTCCGATTTAGGACTTTTTTTTTCCTTGAAAATCTCATTGTCTTAATGGAATTAAATAATGTAAAATTAAATATAGTTCTTCAAGGTTATTTTGTCTAACGTTTTGAGTGTCAGTATGTAAAATAATTCTATGAAGACCTGACTTATTTAAGCTCAACTCTGTTATTCTGCTTTATATTATTTAAAATTTTATAAATATTAGTTGGCAGAATAATGATGTGGTATTTTTCCTAAGGTTATATTCCAGACATGCTCTGACTTAATATTTCCTTTAACTGACAATTTACTCTCCTAGGTAGTAAATAATTCCTCATAATTTTTTTGTATATAAAACTAACAACTTTCATAATAAATTTATTCCCTTGCAGCATTTTCTTCTTGCAATATTAAATATTCACTTACACTTCACTTGACTGATAGAATTTCAACATAGAAAGCTCATAAAGAGATGGTCACTGTTTACCCCTATGTTGCGTATAAAAATTGTAGATTGCATGTTCGCTTACAAACAATAAACTCTGATGACACTCCCTGTTTGTGCTGCTCACATTGATACCCTGATTAGATATGAAGGGGACATACATGGTCACTTGATCATTTGTCACATGCATGTTCAGGGATGCCAGCACTGGCATTGATTTGGATGTTTGTCTATCTGACTATTTAACCTTCCAAAAGCTAAGTCTAAATAGCTACAGTGTAACAGTAGATGCTGGCCACATGCTGAGACTGAGGTAGAATTCTTGCCCACCCCTCCTGTCTCAAATTCAGTTATCCCTTGGAAGGGGCACAAAAGTATCAGTCATTGGAGTGGCAGCCTCCCAACCTTGTTCCTGTCTGGTGACCAAAGCATGGAACATGGCATCTCAAAGGGTCATAACAAAGTTCATTCTGATCCTAGGCATTGTTAATTGAGTGGTTGGATTTTCACCGTTATTTGCCTGTTAAGTTTCCTCAGAATCTGACTTCCTAGTCAGTAGGCGCAGTCAACAGATGAGGGCTTCTTGGCTTAACTGATCTTATGAATTCCATCAGGAGGGATGAGAACCTGAGTTAGGTTCTAGCAAGTGGTTCCCAGGCTTCATAAGTATTTACCCTTATGCTGCAGTTATAGCGTCATTAGCTACGACTGTTGCTGAAGCTTGAATTCAAATAAAAAGCAATTACATGTTAATTCCAGTACTCAACTCACCTGCAACTGAAACTTAATGATCTGGCAGTTTGAACTTGAATATGAAAAAGGAATTGCTTTAGCTTTTTTGATCCTCTGATTTTATTGTCTGCCACAAAAGAAAAGCAAATAATACACAGCATCAGTGCAAAGCATGAAAAAGGAGGTAGGAGTCAAATTCGCTAAAAATTCTAAAAGCTGATCTATAGCTCTGCTCCAGAATTACCTGAAGGTTGGATGGCGGTGAAGTCCATTATTTAATCCGACAATTTCCTAGACATCACAAACAACAGGCTGCAAATCTCAGATCAGGAAACCCTTCCTGGAACCCTGGATGTGATTTAATGTCCTCTTTTTTCCAAACAACCACAGACATCTGTGCACACCTCTGCTGTGACTTTGGTCACATCTCCCTGCATACACAGGAAGTCACTTGCTTGTTGGTTGCCCCTTTTCTTGATTATGTTTTCAGAAGGAAGATCTGATTTTAAATTCAATTTTATATCCCAAGAACTTAGCACAGTTTTAGGTAAGAACTCCATAAAAATCACTACTACGACTTCTAAAATGACTACTGCTATCAGTACTGCTGCTGGTAGTACTAGAGTGCTAGTACTATTCCTGATTTTGCTGCTGCTACCATATCCAGTGTAGCTGATGAGCTAATGAGGACCCCACTCAGGCACATGGGATATGCATACACATTTCCACATCGTGGTTTCTTTTCAGTCACCCCCTAGAGATGGTCATGGCAGAGGGAAGATGTGGAGGTATTCTGGATGAAGGGAAAAGTTTAAGAGTTTATGATAGAAAAACCACTCATATTGCAAAGAGTGGTATGATCACTGTGAATTTGCTATACCTCTTGGATTTTACAATATTTCTATCGTTTGTGAAATTGTGTATTTTCTATAGCATATTTGGTTTCCCCTACAAAAGGTATGATTGCCCTAGCATGGCGATGCTGTAGAAGGAGATGAGAATTTGATTCAACATCATCTAATACATATTTTATCAATAATTAAGAAAACATTTGCTAACCTAATGAACTTAAACAAGTCTCTGAGTCTCAGCGTCAGTTTCACTGTCCATAAATTCAGAATAATGTAACCTGTCTTCTCAGGCTATTTTGAGGATGCAAAGAGGAAACAAATATGCAAGTGATTTGCAAGCTGCCAGGTACTAGGCAACGTAAAGTGTTACATGGCTGTGACAGATTTTCCTTCTGAACCTCCTGTAGCACTTTGTACTGAATGGCACGTTCAGCTGGTTGGAGGCCAGAGCCATGGACTTGTTGGAAATAAGTACCTGATATGAGGTACAAAGACCTGGGAGCAAAGCTCTTTCCCACTGTTTCACTAGTTATGTGACCTGAGATAAATTACTTGAGAAAAGAATCTTAAAGTCATCCAGCTCATGGGTTACTGTGAGAATTAAATAGAAAAATATCTGTGAAGGCACCTGGTGTACTGCAGGCAGTTGGCCAGTGTTTACACAGCATTTCTTTTAGGGCAGAGAAAGATACAAATGAATCAAAATGCTTCGGAATAGGTAACCTGCAAAGAGGAGAAAGCTTGGACGCTGCAGACCTGACTTCCTACTCTGCCCTTTGTTACCTGAGCAAGTCCTAGAACCGCTCTAAGCCTGTTTCCTCAGATGAGAATTGGGAGGAATAATGATGATAATAATAATAAAAAAGCATTTCCTTAATTATCTCTTAGGGTTGCTCTGAGGACTAAAAAATATAAGATATCAGCAGACATGGGATAGGAACTAAGCATTTAGCCTATCCTCCCCCAAAGTTTAGCATCATGCTCATGATAATTATCCTTATTTTTAAAGATAGTCTTAAACCATGTCCAGGTGTTTTCTGTTGACTCAAGAAGAGCCTAGGATGCACTTTTGACAAAATGTTTGCAGTCCAGTATAAAACTTTACCTTAGCCAGGCGTGGTGGCACGTGCCTGTTGTCCCAGTCATTTGGGAGACTGAAGCAGGAGGATCGCTTGAGCCCAGGAGTTTGAGGTTGCAGTGACGGCACTCCAGCCTGTGAAACAGTGTGAGACCCTGTTTCAAAAAACAAGGACAACAACAACAACGAAGAACAACAAAAAACCTTTACCATCTCTGGAAGCCACCTTTTGAGTGGCAAAACACCAGTAAAAATGAATGACGGTGGAGAAGAAGAGGAAAGAGAGAGGCAGCTGATAAGAAACGGAGGGCTAGTGTAGGAGCAAGAAGAGACACTCGGTCTAGCAACTTTGATAAGATGAAAACTTTCTTCCCGAGTTCTTCTCCCCTTGTCTGCCTTGAGCCCTTCTCTCCTGTCCTTCTTTCCATTGAAACCTTCGTGAAGGCAAAGCCAACGAAGATCTCGAGAGTGCAAGGGGAGGCAAAGTGTGGTGGGAAGAGTACCTCCCCGGTAGGCTGAGGAAGCCTGCCCTGCAGGGGCAGCCTTACTGACTAGGCTGATTCCTGGCAACAATGAGGCTGGGACAGTGTAACAATAAGAAGGAGAACACCCACCACGTATTGAACTTTCACTGTGTGCTCTACCAGTACCTTCTCAGTGGACTCTCAACGAAAGTCTCATAGGGCAATTCTGCAGCCCTGTCTCTTTGCCCAGTCATGGAGTTAGTAAGCTGCAAAGGCAGGACTTGAAGTCAGGTCCCCCACTCCACTGTCCCCTTTCAGCTAAAGATGTCGAGCGAGCATTTCTGCATGAGGTCATTCAGAAATGGTTTATGCCAGCAATTTTATTCATCTTCCTAGAGGTGGAAGTGGTGAATAAGCTCTTTCACTCATGAGTAAGTGGAATTTATTTCTGGTAGATTATTAAGTGGAGGGTCATATAAAGATTTCCCCATAGAACAAACATGGCTTAGACTTGAGGGGCTACCTGGGAAGTAGCCTGCAAGCCAGCCCGGAAGGGTGAGTTTATCCCAGTGATGCTGGGGCTTCAGACACTGAGGGAGCTGGGAGACACTTCTGTCAAAGACACAGAGCTCATCATGGTGTCAAACATTCTGAGAGGCCAAACACTTCTGAGAGGCTAAACCAAAAAGGCCTATGAGGTTTAGCAGTGAGAAGGTAGGTTGCGCTCCAGTGTCTGAGAGCTCATCATTCATTTCATTCTATTTCTACTCAAAAGGTTTCCAAGGGGTTGTTCTCTATCTTGTCACCAGTTTGGGGGAGTGCACTCTCTTTAGGGTCACTCTATGTATTCCCTTGCCATATAGCTCACAGGAAGTCTCTTTTCACTGAATTTAACCACCTGATTGTTAATGGAGGTACAGATGCACCTCTGCTGTAGCTGAATAGCTCAACAGTCTCCAAAGTTAGCTATCCGAGTCTTTTCTGGACCTGGATATTTGAATTGATCAGTATATCTGCAGCTGTAATGATTATTTTTGTCTTTTGACATATCTCACCTGAATCTGAGAGCTGATGTATTTTTCTTAAACATTTTTTTTTTTTTAAACTGTGAAATATTCTAGTCACGCACTTTGGTGGCTAGAAGAGTGAATTAATAGTAGTCTAATCACCCTGGAGATGCTATGCTTCTGTGAGCTGGCACTGAGGTAAGGCGGCACATCTCTGTGGGAATGACAAGTGAATGAATCTGCTCCTCATTTAACCAGCTGTTCTCTTCTCTCTCTCTGTTTTCTCTCCTAGGAAACAAATGGAAGACTGTTGCGACCCTGCCCATCTCTTTGCTATGACTAAAATGAATTCCCCTATGGGGAAGAGCATGTGGTATGATGGGGAGTTTTTATACTCTTTCACCATTGACAATTCAACTTATTCTCTCTTCCCTCAGGTTAGTATAGAGTTGGTTGCCTTCAATATAATTTCTTAAATTTCTTGCTGTCATAGAAAAGGGATAAATGAGTTTGCCTAACTCATCAGATCGACTTTTTGTTTTCTTTCTTCTCTCTTAACTTTAAATGCTTTTCTTTATATCTGTCATTTGTGTGTGTGAATAAATCACATAGTCTTTTATGCAAGGGTGGAAGCAGGTTATTATAGAGTTACAGTTTTCCTAGCCTTTCTGATTTGAGTCCTATGAGACTGAAGGAAGCAAGAAATGAATGATCAGGCACTTGTGGAATTCTAGTGTTCTGAGATTGGCTGTGGAATGCCCGTAAGGATTTGTGTGATACTGGAATGTTTTCTTAGGACTGATGTTGCTCAAGGAGTGGGGACCATATGATGAGAAGTTTGCTTCTTAGAGCACTTGAATGTGGTTAGATTACTCCTGTGAAATGGAGGAGTGGTGGATATGGAGAGGAATAATTCAACTTGACCACTTTTGAAGTGGTCTAAATCAAGCTTTGCTTACTTAATATCTCTTCTTGGTTTTCTGAGCATTGAAATAAAATGTTTTTCTAACATACATGTAGGCAGCAAGTGGGGGGAAAAGGGAAATTTTATTTTAGGGAAGGAACCCTAGCTGTGGGGAGGGGAGATCTTAGGCAAAATTGCAATTAGGGAAAAATTCAGAAATGAATTGTGGCCTCCCCCAGACCTCTTTTAGCCTCCCTTGGTTTGCTCAGATGATTGTACAGAAAGAGAATTTTGAGCCTTGGAAGGTGGGACTGAATCTTTCATGTATCTCTGTTAATAGTCGATGAGACTTTAAAGGAGGAATCCCACAAAGTTGAGACACAGGTTCTGCCAGATCCAAAGTCACACTCTCTATGAAATAGCCATGCTGACTAGCTCATCCTTAGCTATTTTAGTCTAGTTTAATGGTTTTAAAATGTAGTGATAAGGTTTTTCTTTTAATTTTTGAAATAGGAAATAGAAGCTTTAGTTTATTGCCAGTATCTACGTGTTTTCTCTCTCCTCTTCATCTGCTCTTGGGAGGCTTCGAAGTGTCAAAGGAAATAACTAAGAGTCATAATATATGGAACTGAATTTTGTCTCCATCTCTCACTAACTAATTTCCTTGGGTAATTACCTAAGTCGTCTGAGATTCAGCTGTTTTGTTTCTATGATGGCTAGAGCAGCACTTGTCCTATTTACCTTACAGAGCTGTGGAAAAGATCAACTTAGATAATGCATGGAAATATTCTTTTTTTTTTTTTTTTTTTTTTTTTGACAGAGTCCCACTCACTGTGTTGCCTGGGCTTGAGTGCAGTAGCATGATCTCGGCTCACTGCAACCTCCACCTTTCAGGTTCAAGCAATCCTCCTGCCTCAGCCTCCTGAGTAGCTGGGATCACAGACATGTACCACCAAACCCAGCTAAGTTTTGTATTTTTAGTAGAGAGCATGTTTCGCCATGCTGGCCAAGCTGGTCTCGAACTCCTGACCTCAAGTGATCTGCCCATCTCGGCCTCCCAAAGTGCTAGGATTACAGGCGTGAGCCACCGCACCCGACTGTAATGCATAATAAATGTACTTTATAAACTACAAAGCATTATATGTTTGGTGTTAATGTGCTGATTCATACTTAGTATCTTGAGGCTGAGTCATGAAGAATAGAATTGTATTGGTGAGGGTTTTGGTAAGGTACAGCAATCTCTGTAGGTACTTTTAGCAGAAAGATATTTCATATAGGGCATATGTCATTTAAAAAAATCATTGAAAGAATGGAGAAATGGGAGCCAAAGGTGGTTCCTAGAATTACTGAGTTCAAGAGCCTACTGCTATAACTGTGGTCTAGGGACTGGGAAGCCCTAACTTGCATTGCTGTTAGCATGGCCACAACTGCTTCTATTAGAAATAGGGAAAGAAGATGAGTTCCAATTCTCCTCATCGTTTCAAATCTTCTTCAAATGCTTCTAATGGAGAAATGATTTGCATCCAGAACACTAGTTGTGAAGAAGTCCAGGAAAGGCCATTTTTAACTATCACGCTTCATCAGGAAACTGGAAAGAGAGTGGCATAGAGGTTAAGCAAGCCAATCCACAAGATATTCTATGTACAAAAACTGCTACCAACTAGTTGTGGCATGAGGAAGAGATAAGGAAGCAATCTCCTTTAACAGTTCCTCACGCAGAAACATTTTAAATGAAATCCAAAGTAGCTTTTTTTATAGATGAGGACTTTTAGTTATACCAACTGAATTCTAACTTTGCATTAGAAAATACATTTAAAAGGACGATTAAAAAGTATACACTAGCCTCCTATGTTAGCTGTCGGTTGCAGCAATAGGGTTGTAAGAAATATTTACTTTGTAAAGTGTGTGCAAATGAATTCTGTGCCTCTTTGTGCCAGTTGCAAGACCAAGGAAACATCCTTGAATAATAAAGGAAGAATGCTTTTTTCTTGGGAATTGGAAGTCATTACATCATTGTGTATGGGCACAACCATCGCAAAAGGCAGAACCAATTCAATGAGTAGATATTTTTTTTTTAATTGCATATGTATGTATTTTTCCTGCTAAGAATCTGAAATGACTAATTAATTCATAGAAATCTTGGTAAACCAGTTTGTATCACTGGAAAAGTGGTGTTTTCCCTCTGCTCTCATCCATTATTATTTCTTAGCAAAATGTTTCTAGTTTGTTATTAGCCAACAAGGTTGCCAGTTAATTGATATGCTTCATTCATGTTCGCGGCAGGAAGATAATAGTGTGTGCAGATGAGGTAGAAATGCAGGTGAGTGGTCCAGGCTCAGTGTTTTCAGCATAAACAAAGCTTCACTCCTTTCCCTGAGTTTCAGTGAAATAATGCTAAGTCACTCATTTCCAATCTCCATTCTACATCTGTACCTTTACACTTGCCCCTTAAATGCTCCGTATATGTTAGCCATCATTATCAATGTGATTTGTTTGCCTACTTTTAACTATTGTTTTTTTGTTGTTGGTACCAAGATGCAATGTAAGAAGGGAGATGCTCTGGTACATTAGGGAATATCAACAGGTCCTGTAGGGGCTGGGGCGGTGAATCCGCAGGAGGTAACTATCGAAATGTCTGTACATTGAGATTCCACATCAAACTCCTTTTAGTTAGTTCTTTGTTATTTGAACCTTCCACAACTTTCTGTAACTTTGTGTTCAGATTTATTCAATTCTGCCACATAATGCTGCGTACGTAACTTCATACCTCCATATGACAGTGTTTTGTGTTCTAAAAGTCCTTATCTGCTGTCTTAGTAGCATCTTGTGAGCTCTTGAGAACAAGAGGGTTTTCCCTTTTGCGCCCACTGCATTGCTTCCCACTCAGTATAAATATTCATTTCCAACCACTCATGTCTGTCAAGGGCGTTCCTGTCTGTGTCTCACTTGGGCTGGACCCCTGCAGTGCCCTTGCTTGAACTGTAGGAAACTAAGCAGGACATTCAGAAGTAGCTGTTTCCAAAGGGCTCTATAAGTGTATTTTGGTGAAATATTTGTTGAAGATTATTAGGCATGAAGGGCAGAATTTTTAACCTTCACACAGGATTTTTAAAACACGTGATGTGTGTGTGCGTGTTTGTATTTGGGGAGGACAGTGCGATGGTATTAGCATTCCCACTTTGAGAATAGCTGCTCCCAATCCCCTGTGTTGGGACCAGCTCTTTTCTGCTTAGCCAGGAACTGCCCCTTTTAAGCCTGCATGGTCCAGTGTTTGCAGGAATTATTGAATGAACCCTATTTTGGCCTAAGATATATTGCCCAGGAAGAACACAAATTTCCATGGAAATGAGTGAGGGAGTAGCAGGAATGTTAGAAACCACAACTGTGCTGATACCATCTGAAAAATATTTCCTTTTGGTGTTATAAAAACACGGTTGGCTCTCCATTCTCTTACATTGTGATATAAATTACAAACGACTATTCATTTCTCGTCAGCATGTTCACCCAAGGCCATACGTAAAGCATCACAAAACATCATTAATGCACCCCACGCAGACACTCATTTCCAGCTTCCTAGATTGACCGTAGGCTCCTGTCATGTTCCACTGAGCCTGGACCTGCAGCGTCCTTGGCCTGTGGGAAACCCAGCAGGACATTTTGGAGTAGTTTGTCAAAATAGCCTTGTTAAAATGAAAATATACATTTTTTTTTTCCTTCACAGTAATGTGCTTAATAGAATTCTCTGAGCTCTTGGATATCCCTGAGTCTCACAGCAATTTTTTTTCTTTTGATAAAATTTGGATCATACTATATAATCTACAGAATTTGGTAGGTTTTTTTTTTCAACTTATTCATATTATTGTAATCATTTCCCCTGATATATATCTTTTTGGCTGGAAGGAAACTAAGGGGTCTAATGTCTGGTGGGGATTGATCTTTGCTGGACTTTTGTTAGGCTCTGTTGTTAGGCTTGCATCTGGCTGCTTTATAACAGAAACCTGATTGGGGGCAGAACCAAATAGGTGCTTATTTATCTCAAGCAATAAGGAATTAGAGGGTGGGTAGTTTAAGGCTCAGTGATGGCTACATAGTGTGCCATCAAACTCCCAGACCCCTGTCTTGCTATTCAAACTTCCTTAGCTGATGGTCAAGGAACTTCACAGTTTTGGTTCAGGATCCCAGCAAAAAGAAGGAGTAAGCAGAAGAGGAAAGTTGGACAGATTCCTGCTCCCATATCATTAATCAGGACTGAGTCACATGGACGTGTCTAACTGCAAGAAAGCCTGGGAAGTTCAGTGTTCCAGTTTTAGGCAAATGCCTTGCATTTGTCAACTGTATGGGCTGCCTCAGTTTCTTCACATGTTCTCTCTCTCAGCCCTTACAGTGACTCTGTGTGGCTGTTATTATTGTCTCCATTTCATGGATGAAGTTAAGACTGAGAGGGGTTAATTACCTTATTCAGGGTCCCGGAGCTGGTAGGTGGAAGGGCTGGGATGTGAAACCTGGCCTGTCTGATTTCAAAGGTTTTAGTGT